GCGTATATAACTCAGTGACGGAAGTTTACCTGGGTACAGGGTATTACACTGTCGGGCTTGCTCGACTGTAGCGTTCTCTCTTGTTTCTTCTTCTATTTGTAGATCTGAATATGTAATTTTATTGCTATAAGTTTTATGGTGCTTCAAAGCCCTCACACTTTATTTTGTAAAGTTTATTCTTTGTGTATTTAGTGGCTATTTTATTTTCTGCCAAAATATAAACTCATATTTTCCGAGAAATAGATGGAGAATTTTAATTAATTTTGCCTTTCTCTGTTAGTATTTACATAAAGTTTTTTATACTGAATCGATCCCTGCTAGAAAATGGCTAAATAGGAGAGTTGCTAAGGAGGAATGAAAGGTCGCTTCTTTATTATTATTATTATGTATGTTCCCGTTATATTGATCTCCAATGAGCGGCTTGTCTCATAAAACTCTTCTTTTAGTCAAACTTGTGTTTAGGGACTTGGGAACGGTGGCGGATTTATCCGCCGAGGGGAACAGTGCGTCCGAGTTCCACATGCAAGTCCTGAGGCCATGTGTAAAAATTGAGTAGCGTTACATTGACTTGCAATTGAGCATAAAAGTACAAATACATTTGACTTTGACCCCGACCCTGACACCGACACCGACATCGACATCGCCATACACCGCCATTGACGAAAATAACGACAAAAGTAACTACACAAAGCCAGTGGCGTCAGCTTCAGCGTCAGCATCAGCGACAGCTCATTGAAGTCGGAGCAACAGCCGCAGATATTGCACAATGCAAATGTGAAACGAGGAAACAAATTTTACGATGTGTTTGACTACTTACTGTTGGTCCGTCCTTTTGAACGCGCCAGTGCCGTCCTTGCCTGTGCTTCCCTTGCTCACTTCCGGCCTGAACCCTGGTTGGCTGTCCAGGCGAGGCGGCGTCTGCCGAGCGGCATGCATTATTATTATTACCTGCGCGGTGTCAAATGCAAACAAGACGTTCGCGCCAGCCATAAAGTCACAAAATGACGATTGCGATGCTGATGCTGGGACTGGGACTGACGCCGACTTCTTAGCCTCAGGCTCTCAAGCAAACTCTAGGATGAAAGGATTCTGCGTGATTATTTATGACGCACTATCGCTTACCCCTTCAACCATGAGTTTAAGAAAATTGCCGGTAAGTGACTATTAACTGCCCTTCTGCTCTAGCTGTTATGTACTTATTTTGTGTGCGTGTGCGTGTGTGTCTGTGTTTGTGTCTGTGTGTGTGTGTGAGTGTGGCTATACTGAATATCTTCATTTTCTTCATTACAGTCCTAAAACTGGCAATAAGGAACTAACCCGATTGACAAAGCTCTGGTCAGCAACCGCGTCCACATCCTCACTCCAGCTTAAATACTCGGCAGTAGCAATAGCGTTACCCACAACGACAACTCCATCAAAATCCAGCAGTGGCGTCCAGCCAATCCCACAGTGGTGCGCCGACAGCGGCGAGTATCTCTCCCTCCAGTGTTAGTTCCCAGCCTCCAAGTGAGTAAGGTTTACATGTAACTATTATACGAGTATATGTACAGGTAATTTATCGGAATTCTGAACAATCACTTAGATTTGTGTTGGTTCCCATTTTATACTTAAGATAGGCTTTTGCTGTAAGATTGATTTATTTATGCTCTTATGTTCGATGCTCTTATGTTTGATGTAGAATTTATGTAAATTTTTTGATTTCAATAAGTACATAGATAGATAGATAGATTAATATAGATAATAACTGCAATCAATTTACTGATAATTCTGGCGAACTGAAGGACCAACGCACATTTTGAGAATTTTCTCTAATCCACCGTGTGGATTGGCTCTTTAGGTCTCTGAGAAAGTTCACGCTTACTGGCGAAGTAATTCGCTTCTCTATGTGCATTCGTGTGCGTATACGAGTATGTATGTATGTGTGTACTCGCATCCTTTTACGCCTCGTCAACAGAGTGCTACTCAAAGTATGGGTTTGCTTCCTTCTTCCACACCTTTTCTTTTTTGTTTCTTGAGCAATTGTCATAAAACGGCTCATAATTGTTCATTGCAGCATTAAATTTGACAATTGTATACAATTGTATTGTAGTATGTACGTCAGAAAGTTAGGGTTTGCGGCGTTGTTGACAATTTGTCAGCACACATAATTTATTGTGTTTATTTTGCTCATTTAATTAATTAGCACAGGCAAGGATAGCAACTCACTTTGTTCCCAGTGAGAATTCCAAATAGAAGCCGCGCTCAATTTCCTATTGTCTTGGGGCGACAACGGCAATAAAAACATCGCGTCTATAAGACAAGATGAGTACCGTCATGTTTCCCGTCCCACACGAATCTCGGCCATAGATGGCGCTGCGAGTAATTTGGTTGTGTGTGTGATGTTCGTTTGTAAAATATTCAAATCAGCCCCCAAATCAAAACAAATGAAAGAATAACTTTGCTGCTGCACAGGAGACGGAGCGACGACTGTACGCAAGAGAGCGCTCTCATCAAACCGGCAGGGCACATGTACAGGGTCTGTGTATGTGGCCTAGTGTTGGTGTGTTCGCATGGCGTGTGTGTGTGATGTGGAGGCATGCGTTGCCTTCTTGACACGAGCTTGGATCCCAGAAAAATATGAAAATAGTATAAGAAATTTCCAAACTGAAATTATTCGAAATGTTATGTGAATATCAATTATTCACATGCTTGCAACAACTTCATGACTGCAGTCAAGAGTCCCCCAGTTCTCTTAGAGTGGACGAAGTTCGAGCTCACATATACATAAATATCTCAAATCTTATGGATACATGTACATGTATCCACACACACTGTACGTGTGCATAATGCCACCAGAAAGAGCGCAGCGAAGTCACGTGCGCTCTTTGTTGCCCAGCGTGTGTGTACGTTGGATACTTTTTGTGTAGTGTGCGGCGTACGTATACGTATGCACACATACATATAGGACTTAGAATGTGCCTATGCGTGTGCACTTCAACCACCAACACAGAGTAACAGAATTTTGAGTCTGGCGCCGTGGTTGCCTCTGCGCAGGCTCGCGCACTCTCTCAGGGACAGGAAAACAACAACAACAACGGGCTAGCAAAACAAAAGGCAAGCGAATGCGAATGAGATTGCCTTTTGTTCACATCTTGACTTCGAATGATTCCAACTCTGTGTGTAGTTGCACGTCACTCGTAACGTGCTGTTGCCGCTCTTCGTGCGTGAAAGTGTGTATGTGTGCGTGTGCGCGTGTATGAAGACATTTTCAACGCACGTCAAGTAAAGTCAAGTCGGAGATGGAGACTCCACCGCTGCTGTGTTGCTTCTCTGTTGCTTCTCTGTTGCTTTGGCATCGCCGTCACCGTCTCCGTTGCTGTTGTCGCTGCCGTTGTCGTCAGTGTAGATTTGTGCTTCGCTGTGTTCGGTTGAGGTAGACGGCGCGCGGGCGTCTAAATAGCTTTAGCAACGGAACTACAAGAACAACATCCACCACAAAAACAACATCAACAGAAACAAGAACAACAACTACTGCAACCCAGGGCGAGAACGACGAGAATAAGAATAAGTTCAGTGTTGTGCTTTTGTCATCGAATTCGTTTATTGGGTTTCCATTCTGCGTGGAACGTTGCCATGATGCGGTTCGCTGTTCAAAGACATTCAGTTTTCAAATGTAACGAATAACGAATGTCAAAAAAATAAATAAATAAATAAATAAATCGTGGTCAAAACAATGCAGATTATAAGTTTTAATAAAGAATACGAGACAGACAAATATTGTTAACTGTTGCAAACAGCGAATTTAATTGTTTGTTTTGATCGTAAAATCAAATTTTATGACCAACAACATAAAAAGCAAACGCCAAACCAAAAACTCATTCGCGCTCACACGCACTGAAATTACTCGCGCGTTTTGTGCCGGCATAAAACTATAACCACAAAACTAACAGCGACAACAAAAACGGTGATGACAATTAAATCAGTAACAACTGCAAGTGTCAACAGCAAGCGATTAAAAAGCGGCATTAAATAATCAACAAAAATATGCAAATGTGCAATTAGTGTTTGAGCCAACGTGCAGAATCAAAAAGAACATATTGACTTGGAAAAAAAAATAGTTTTTCAAATAAATGACCATGATTTTGAAAAGCTCGACACTGCACTGCATTTAACAAACAATTTGAAAATAATCGTCTGCACTTTTTGGGCAACCATGAACACCCTGTGAAAACCTGCCCCTTGGTCTCTTTGCCTTGGTTTGGAGCTGCGATTTTGATCAAAAAACGCTGCTTCTGGCCCTTTGCGTTCTGATTTGCGGCAGTGCCGCTCTTCATCACAACCATACGAGTATTGCGCTCTTTCGCTCTTCACGCGTGCGTTTGTGTTGGTGCGCAAGTGCGTGTGTGTGCTTGTCCATATTTATAATTGTGTGCGTGTGCGTGTGCTACGCAAATAAACTTGGCAACATACTGCAACTGAAATCGTAAATAAATATTTTTATTTAACTGAAATAACTCGAAAAACATCGCATCGTTAGCACAAAAACCAACAGTGAGTACAGAAATTAAAAGCAAAATAACAAAAACAACGACGGCAGTGCTGGTTTGCATTTTAATCGTCAAATATTGTTAGAAAAATTAAAATCGTAATATCAAGCGAACAATTTGAATATTTAATAATAATTCGGAGCCCTATTGGAAGTGCACTTGTTTAAAAGAACGTTGGAAACGTGCCTATTGAAGCGGCTGGGACGGACGGGGACGGTAGGATCACCTTTCGTGGGGAGTATTCGGAGTATCTTTCGCCTGTACCTTGCCTGAAACGCGATCAAAATAACCGTAAATATTCCACCCCTCCCCCAAACCCCAACCGTCCCGCTGGCGTGCGCTCTCTACGACCCCCACGATGTCTCGGCAGTCGGGTCGCACGCCGCTGCCGGGGCTTGGTGGGGGCCGCATCATCCACATCCCTCCTCGACGACCACCACAAATTCCGTGGCTGCTGCGGCTGCTCTGCAACATCACCAGCAACAACAGCAGCAGCATCAGCACCAGCAACTCCAGCAGCCCACGCAACATCTGCAGCAACTGCATCATCATCCGCACCACCACCTGCCTCAGCCCCTGCACACCAACCATCATCACAGCGCGCATCCACACCTGCAGCACACGATCGTCTCATCTGCCACGGTTGCATTGTCGACGCCATCTTCGGTCCTCCACCAGCAGCCACAGCAGCAGCAACAGACGACGCCCACACATTCCACGCCCACACATGAGGTTAAGTATGAAGATCCTCCACCCGTGCCAATCGTCGCCGTGCAGCAACAGCAACAGACGCCCATCCAGCATCTGCCCGCCCAGCAACAGCAACAGCAGATTCCAACAACTCCAGTCAGTGGAGCTCTCAGCCCTGCACAGACTCCCACTGGACCCGCCTCTCAACAGCCTCAGCAGCATCTCACATCTCCTCACAACCGGCAACAACAATCGCAAAACCAGCATCAGCAACAGACTCCGAACAGCGTCGTCAGTGGCGCGCCGTCAAGTCTTCAGCAACAGCAGCAGCAACAGCAACAACAACAACAACAGCAGCAACAGCAACAACAGCAACAGCAACAAAATCCGACAGTCGCGTATGGGCAATCTCAAATTATTGCGCCGACAACGGCGAGTGTCTCTCCCTCCAGTGTTAGTTCACAGGCGCCAGGTGAGAAGAATTTCCCAGGTCTCATTCAGAATATACTCGTATATACGACACCTGAATTCGATCCATTTTAGTATTACACGTATGGTGGGGTGGTTCCAAAAGCTAAATTTTTCTAAGAAAATGGCATGATTTTTAAAAATCTTGATCAAAAACGAAAATAGAATTTGCTTTTTGCAACACAAAGTTTGTTCCAGAAATTTTTCTGGTAGCTATATGATATGATATCGTATAAATTAACATATTCGAAGAAAAGCCGAAGCCTACCTTTTTGATAACTTTTTGGCACACATTTAAAAAAAAAAAAATGCAAAACCATTTTTGGGTTCAAAGGTGTCCCAGCAATTTATAATATTATAGCTGGTTTTCAAATGATACTTTTTATTGGTATTCTCTTAATTTGTTTTGATGGATGCTTAATTCCAAAACTGCATCGGTCGAACCGTTTTTCATAACTGCAAATACAATTTTCTGAAATATGGTTTTATCAATCACTCCATAAATGTACATACAAGTATTAACCTGATAATATTTTTTAACTCGAACAAGATCTAAGACAAGAAAGAAATCCTAAGGCCGAGCGAGCTCAACTCTTAAATACCTTGTATCTCCCACCAAAAAAGAAAAAAGTTTATTTTTTTAAATTATTTTTAAATAATTATATTACTTAAATTAAAATTAATATACAAAAGTGGATACATGTTCAGAATCGTGTGTCTGCGTGTTTATATGCATATATGCATGTATGCATCACAAAGTTGAACCAGAGCAGCAAAAACAACAACAACTGCGGGCAGCGCTTAGGCAGAGATTATGTTTATGGCTATAACTTTCTTCATAATTGACCTATCATGATGACACTTGGCACACGGACAGATAACCACAAACTGAATGTACAAGTATATTCAAAATTCCAATAATTACGGGAGTTATGAAAAACACAAATTGCGAGGGAGTGGGGGGTGTATAAAAAAAACACAAATTCGATCTGCCCAGGGCTTAGGGGAACCTGAATGCCAAGTTTGGTTATCCTAGCTATTCTACTTGCTGAGATCGTTGCGCTCATACAGACAAACAGACAGTCGGACGGATGGTCTGCCACGCTTCCTTTCCTATATTTAACAGAATCATACAAATCAGGCATTGGTGTTGGTGGAGTAAAAGACATCATAGCCTGATTGTTCCTATGACAGCTATATAATATAGAAGCCACTTATTTAATTTTCTTTTTGAATTTACGGAAAACCCATCCTTTAGATTCTATAACAACTGCAGAATATTATTTGATCCAATCGGATTTTGTCGAATGAACAAGAAGTCTACGAACACAACTGGCTTTAATTAAAACAGACTAGGAGAAAAATGGGTTTGATTTGTCATGCTCATGTCATGTCATCAAGTTATATATATTTGAATGGGGTCGGAGAAGGTTTCTCTTGCATGTTAGATAAATTTCCAGGTACCCAATGTACCCTATGTACCTTTCGGACTCAAGGTATTAAAAGTTGTTTTTACTACAAGGCGCCACATTAAGTAGCTTAAACATTAGACACCTCTACATTATATATATATATATATATATATATATATATATATATATATATATATATATATATATATATATATATATATATATATATATATATATCTATATATATATATATCTATATATATATCTATATATATATATATATATATATATATATATATATAACTTTTTTAAGCATTACTCAAGACAAGTTGAATTCATTTTGATTATGAATATTATTATCATTATTTAATATGCAAGAATAACAACGGAATGAACCTGAACGGAATGCTAGAGCTGTGGGAGCTCTGCTCGAAACACCACATACCGACTTAAAAATGGTTTTAGAAATTCACTATTTTCATTTTTTACTTAAAATTTCTTAAGTGCGTATGTATATAATGCCTACCTAAATAAAGTATACATCTCTTAACGTTTTGTTGTTGCACAAACTTGCATCGGATTCCCGTGTGTATTTGCATTTGCAATACAGAGTTAAATCAAAGCAACAACATCCGAACTAATAGAGCGTTAAAGTCGTGCCAGGCCGACTATTGAATACCCTTTACCAACTCCTTTCCTGACCACAGCCATTCAACTCAAACAAACTTTGTTGTAACAATCATTCCTATGCAACAATTTTGATAAATAAAGAATTTGCTTACGGTACCGGAATAAGTAAACAAACATATATATAACACATATGAATATTGTGCGGCACTATAAGAAATGTTATGAATTTCAAGCTTGCTTCGGAATTGTGGAAAATGGTGATTAAATCTAAAAATCAATTTGGGTTTATGTGTCTAAAATGTCTTTGGTATTAGCTATACCCTGTAGTGCACAGATTTGTAATGAAACTAAAGAGCATCTAGAATATATCAAGATATCATTATAAACAAGAGAGTCTTTAAAACAGTGATTTTTGCATAAATCGGCACTTTTTTAAAATAATGAGGCAATATTTGATTTGGAATAATCTTGACCAAGCGAGCAGACTCATAACATGGGGCTTGCCACACCTATATTATCTTTTCTTTGAATTGACCGATATGAATAAAATTATTAAGAACAGAAGTAAAATAAAAAACAAGAGAGAACGCTACAGTCGAGCAAGCCCGACAGTGTAATACCCTGTACCCAGGTAAACTTCCGTCACTGAGTTATATGCGCCCATAGCAGCAGCAAAAAGAGGAAGAAGAAGAACGAACTTGTTGCTGCAGTTTGTGGGGGTTGTACTGGCGAGAATTTGTTTCGCTAATAACTTTCCTTGACCGAATTGAATAAAATTTTATACAACAGTAGACAATTATATATTAATTATGTGTGCAAAGTTTGGTTTAGGTAGCATTTGAAATGTGGACGCTATTGACGAAATTCTGTAGCGGGGAAGGGGGGGAAAATTAAAAAAAAAAACATAAACTCGTCCTTACTCGGACCTAGGAGAATCTGGATGCCAACTTTGGTTATTCTAGCTTTTATAGTTTCTGAGATCCTCGCGTTCATCCAGACGGACAGACGGACGGACAGACGGACAGACGGACGGACATGTCTAGATCGATTTCTCTCGTCATGCTGATCAAGAATATATATACTTTATGGGGTTGGAGATGCTTCCTTCTGTATGTTACATACTTTGCACAAACCTAATATACCCTTTTTACCCTACGGGTACAGGGTATAATAAAAAACGAGAGATAATGCTACAGTCGAGCAAGCCCGACAGTAAAATATCCTGTACCAACTTTCACAAAAAATTTTTTTTTTTAATTTAAAAATTAAATTAAAAAAAGTTAGGTAATTAATAGTTAAATTAATATAGAATGTTCAATACATACATACATAAGTGGCGACATACGCTTATATACAGTTTCAACAGCCAGACATCAGAATCATGTCTATGTACGTGTATGTGTGTAGTACAGAATTAAGTCATATTACAACAACAACAACCGCTGTGGGCAGAGCTTGAACAGAACAAATCCTTTCTCGAACTTAGGATACCAAGTTCGGTTGTTCTACTTCTTATACCTTTGATATCCTTGCGTTCATACAAACGGACAGACAAACAGACGAATTCCGAATGTCCCCTTTTTATACCCTGTACCCGTAGGGTAAAAAGGGTATATTAGGTTTGTGCAAAGTATGTAACATACAGAAGGAAGCATCTCCGACCCCATAAAGTATATATATTCTTGATCAGCATGACGAGAGAAATCGATCTAGACATGTCTGTCCGTCCGTCCGTCTGTCCGTCCGTCTGGATGAACGCGAGGATCTCAGAAACTATAAAAGCTGGAATAACCAAAGTTGGTATCCAGATTCTCCTAGGTCCGAGAAAGGACGAGTTTATTTTATTTTTTGGAATTATCCCCCCCTTCCCCCGCTACCGAATTTCGTCAATGCTGTCCACATTTCAAAAGCTACATAAGCCAAACGCACATAAGCCAAACGCACAAATGCACACGCAATCTATATACAATTATCTACTTTTGGTTTAAATTTTATTTAATTCGGTCAATTCTAAGAAAAGTTATTAGCGAAACAAATTCTGGCCAGTACAACCCCCCCCCCCCCCCCCAAACTGCAGCAACAAGATCGCTCTTCTTCTTCCTCTTTTTGCTGCTGCTTTGAGCGCATATAACTCAGTGACGGAAGTTTACCTGGGTACAGGGTATTACACTGTCGGGCTTGCTCGACTGTAGCGTTCTCTCTTGTTTAAATTCACTTAAAAAAGTAAAATTAAAAAAAATTTAAATACATAAAATTATAAGTTTAAAATATTTTTTAAACGAGCTTTTAAAGCATGGAGACCGCTCTACTATATTATTTCATTCTTGGTTACTTTAAGTTTGAACAAATTTTTAATTTTATTTTAAAAAATAGTAGTACAGCCTAGGAATTAGTGAACCGGGTGCATGTACTTACATATTTAGGAGTGGGTTACGAACCCAGCATTTGACCCGCTTAAAAGTAGAAAATTAATATAAATATTAAAAATATTTATTACTTTCCAGATAACATGTCCATCATAGCGCCTCTACACATACCCGCAATAAGGCCAGGTTTTGAAACGGACGCAACGACGGCCGTAAAACGGCATGCGCCCTGGGCCTACGAAAATGAAAGCTTCAACCAGTACAACCCTTACTATCCTCTGGACAGAGAGCGCAAGCCAGTGTTCTACAGCTATCCAGACACCCAGTTTCCGGTAAGTGTAACGAGCAAGGCCGCCTCGAATCGCGCGGACAGTCAGAATAGTCGCGACAAACAAATCGTAAACAACTCAATGGCAATGCTTCCCTCTTCTACCCCCCGCAGTATTGGAACTACCGCGATCAGACGACCTCCGCCCCTGGGATCTATATGAACGCCACGGACGAGCGTCATGCAAATGTGGGCGCAGCAGCGGCAGCGGTGGCAGCAGCGCGACAGTCGGTGGAGGGCACCTCGCAGTCGAGCTACGAAACGCCCACCTACTCGTCGCCAGGTGGGCTGCGCGCTTACCCTAGCGAGGCCTATTCGAGCACAGGTATGCGAGCATATCACATTTTTCTTGTTTCGTTTCGTTCCGATATTGTTTTTTCTTGCCTTTGCATCGTAAGTACTCGTATTTGTTTCGCTTTTCGCGGCTGATTGTCGTTGTGAAAAACAAATTACGACATTTCAAAATTTGTTATTTAATTAGCGTTTTGCAAAATGCCTCATAAATTAATTTGAGATCTTTGGTAATCGATCCGACTGTAAAGTGGGTGTTGGAGTCCTAACTGCTAAGCAAATAGATTTCATTTAATGTGTTTATGCTTGACCCCCAGGCTATAGACGGTTCTATATTTGCTTAAAAAAGGCGAGTTTCTCAAATACGAAAATAGTGGGGATGCGGAGCATAGTTATTCACGGGTTGAAATTATATTTAGTTATTCATTCAATTAAATGCAATGTGCTTACACGTATATATATTATCTGCTACTTTAACAAGCGATCATAATTAATTGCACAGTAAATTCAGAATTGAATTGTCAATCCATTACTTTGATTGCATTATAATCTTAATGAGCTATAAGTGCAATCGCCAATCCTCACCTTTCTCTTTCTCTCTTTAGGGACTTCTGGGGGTCTGCCAGTGGGCGCTGTGGGTCCGTGCACTCCGAATAATGCAATGCACGATGCATGGACCAGTCAGGTGGCGGTGCGGAAAAAGCGCAAGCCATACTCGAAATTCCAGACGCTGGAACTGGAGAAGGAGTTCCTGTTTAATGCATATGTCTCCAAACAGAAGCGCTGGGAGCTGGCCCGAAATTTGCAGTTGACCGAGCGGCAGGTAAGCGATTCATCTCGAGAGATATGGACCATCCTCACTCACTCTCTCACTAACGTCTTTTTTGAAGGTTAAGATCTGGTTCCAAAATCGTCGTATGAAGAACAAGAAGAATTCGCAGCGTCAGGCCAATCAGCAGAACAATAACAACAGCTCCAGCAACAACCACAACCATGCACAGGCCGCCCAGCAGCATCACAACAACCACCATTTGAACTTGGGCCTGAGCATGGGGCACCATGCTACCAAAATGCACCAGTGACCTTTGGACAACAGCAGCGCCGGCGCCATGGGCTTTGCCTCCTACTAGCAGTTAGCCAATACCAATCCCATCAAGTGCGAAATGGCCATGGACTTTCAATGTTGAAGAATGCATTTAGAAAGATTATACTTAGTGGCTCTGTGCACATGTACAAAACTGTCCAGATGTTAGAGATCGAAGCCCAATCAAGATGAGCAAACTGTCGCAAGTTGGAAAGGAAGGAGCCCTGTACTGCGCTGGCGTCGCTGTTCCGAATGCGGATGTCGTAGAGACGTAGGCGGACGGAGAAGAGTTAAAACTTATGTCTAATGAAATGCACCTAAATGATAAGTCAGTAAACCTTAACTTAAAAGAAATACAATTTAAATTATATATGTATGTAAAACGCAACTTAATTGAAGCTTAGTGCAGTAGTTGAATTCGAGAAAAAAGAAGAAGAAGAAGAAGAAGAAGAAGAAGAGGAGGAGTAAGCGAAAGCAACAAACGATACACAAAACAAAATTATGTAATATGTATAATTAAATATGTATTCTCTCAACGCTCTCATAAATTTACGCGCATAACTAACTTTGAACTATATACAATAAAATATAAATATTACTTAAAATATTACCCATATGAATAACAAAAGAATTGCGTAGTAGTTTAACATGTAAGTGCATATACTATATTTGCAAACGACGAGCACATTGTAGCCCCAGAATACTTAGAATACGTTCTTGCGAAAACCTGAACAAATTGTTTAACAATTTCAAATCCAAACTACAGACACACTCAAGGCCCACATGTTCACGTACAGAAACACATAAACTCTCATACACAATTAAACAAAAAAGTAAAGCAAAAACTCAGTAAAGCGTCGCACTTGTAGGATAATATTTGTCGTATAATGTTCGTCGTGTCGTGTCCTTAAATACCGTTTAAGTTCCTGTATATAAATTAAGACATAAAGGCAGCCAGTCCCAAGTGTGTAGAAAACAAAAGAAAAGAAAACTAAACAAAACCAAACAAAACTAAACAAAACAAAACAAAACAAAACAAAAGAAAACATTTTTAGTAAAACCGTCAAACAAATTTGGGTTTGTGTGCAAATAATGAAATGATAATATAACTTAATTATGATAAATTCAAATGCGAAACACATTTTAGTTAAAAGTGAAGTAACTCTTAAGGTTTTCGATGTGTGCATGTATGTTTACTCCATAGTTAAAAGCGCTTTTCATCTAACTGCAAATAAACAAAAACAAAAACAAAAAATATACATATACACGTACATATATAACTAAAGCATGGAAAAATTTATTACGGTTAAGCCACAAATAAATAGAAATTCGAGGAAAACAAGCATACATTAAATGATACTTATATTATATAATAATGAACATACATACATATACATATATTTTCATGTGTATCAACTCTGCTTAATCCTGATATTACATCTAAGTTGAGTTCTGTTGTGTAATTGTCAAATTTTTGTTAATGTTTTGCTTCATATACTTACTATTATACATGTATACAATAATAATGCCTATACATAAATATCAAGTGGAATGATTTCGCCAGTTGCTTTATCCGAGTTCTTGTATTATTATTATTTCACACCTTCTGATAAGTTTTAGTCTAAAGTCGGTTATGTTTATACTTATGTTCAATTATAGTTTGTTTAGTGAATTTTTATATAGAATTAGAAATTTTCTTTTTTAAAAAGTTAATTATTGTGAATAAAATACAAAATGCAAAAGATTAATGCAAAATTATACACAAAATACATATGAGTATGCCATTCTGTTACTCACTCGTATTGTCTAATCAAAATCGTAGCAAATGGAGCAAAGGGCCTGGAGGGTTCGACTAGTTCTAGTCCTAGTCCTAGTCCTACAAATGCATGAAACGCATACAAATCTCAGCTTTCAAGTAATTTGTTACTTTTTCATTTTTATAATTAGCTTATACATTTTATTTTGGTAAGTAGACCACCCCAGAGAGCAATACCTATGTATGTAGTTTCACGTATGCACAACTGATAGCGTTTTAAAGACGACCTCTCGGCATCGAATTTATTCATAGGCATCCATTGTACTTGTACATCGTGAATTCGAATAATCAATTAACAGAATATAAGCAAACTTTGTACTCTACTTCAAGTTAAACAAGCCACTCAAAGTGAACATTCAATTACCTGCTATAACCTGCAATGCGCCGCTCCGAATCCAATAAGCCCAATAATTCATATCATATGTGTTTGCTTTTGATGTGTTATGCCATTACGTTCTTAAAGTTCCCCCTTAGTTGTCTAACACATTTCATTTCACTGCTATTCAAATCATTTGTAATGCTGCGCTTAACGAAAAGTCTAGATTAAAATAGTTTGTTTTGGAATATTCCATAAGGTTAAATAAATTATTATATAACTGTATATTAATTTTGAAGTTTTCTTTGAAAATAACAATTGATCTAAAACCGCTCTACCCCACTTTAAGAGTTTAGTATTCTTACATACTATATTTAATACTTTTTATCCGGCATTATTTTAATCCGGAAGTATACGAATATTAAAACATTAAGACCATGATTGACAGGGCATGCAAGAGCCGGCTTCTTCAACTGCCAATGCCATTGCATTGCCATCGAATTTATGTTCTCTTCACGTCCTGTCAACGCATACAATCACATGAAGTATTATGTAAAGGATTAACCGATTTAGAAAAGAGCAAGTGGAGAAATACTCTGTACATATGTGTAGAATAATTATGCGTGTCTATGAGTGTTTGTGCCTGTGCAAAGCAGCAACAACAACAACAGCTGTGGCCAGTGCTTGGGCAAAGATGACATATATGGCTATAATTTCCTGTTAAATCGGTCCTTCATTATGATTAATCACTGACTGGATGTATTTGCCAAATTTGAGTCAAACATTCTAATAATTACGGGAGCTACGGAAAATCCTTAATTGCGAGGCAGAGGGAAGGAAAAATGCAATTTCCTGTACAACCTTTTCCCAATCAATTAAGTAGTTTATATACGTACATTTAGGTAAGTAAAATAAAATAATTAATTTTATTGAGGTTTCAGAAACCTCAACAATGATTAACTCTTCTAATTCCACCTTTTTTTCGGCAACTAACTGCCTATATGCATACAGAGGTGGTCAAAAGTATTTACACACCGGACATTTTTTTACATATTCCATTATCGGACATTTTTGTTTATGTTTGATCTTTGCAGAATCAAATGTAAGAACAATGAAAAGGATAACGGCTCATATGACGAAAATATAGGCAAAAGAATTTATGCTAATAAGCTGTCAAAAGTATTTAAACACATTTTATTTGCATCAAAAGGAAGTAAACAATTCAAAATATACATACTTTCTTAACAAACTTTGAAGTATTAATATTCCAGAAATTATCTAGAACAAGAAAGGAATGCTAACGTCGAGCAGGCTCAACTCTTAAATACCCTGTACCACCCCACAAAAAACAAATTTAATTAATTAAATTAATTAATTAATTAAATTAAATTAATTAACTAAATTAATTTAATTAACTAACTAAATTAAATATAAAATATTCCATGCATGCATACATACATTTACATCAGAATCGGGCCTTACGCGTGTTTGTGTACTTGTACATATATATGTATGTGTGCATTGGGCCTGGTTATATGGCTATAACATTTTTTCCAATCATTCTATCATAATGAAACTTGGTGTACGGATATATAATCACTATCCTAATGTGAATACCAAATTTTACGGGAGTTATAGAAAATCGTTAATAGGGGGGGGGGTGTGTGTGGGGGGGGGGGGGGGTAGTTTAGAAAAAATGAACAAACTCGTCCTTTCTCGAGCTCAGGAGAATCTGTATACCAAGTTTGGTTATTCTAGCTCTTATACTTTCGGAGATCCTTGCGTTCATACAGACAGACAGACGGACAGACGGACATGGCTATATCGACTCGGCTTGTCATGCTAATCAAGAATATATATACTTTGTGGGGTCTACCTTGTACCCTTTGGGTACAGGGTATAAAAATAGTGAAAACTCAGGAATTATCCGTTGAAGTTCGATCTGAGATTTTCACAAAATTTAAGAGCGATATTTCGGCATCAGACTTACTAATGTCGTCTAAGATTTTATGTAGAACGGTGCGAATTTATTTTAAACAAGTGGAGAAGCTAAGGTCGGCTTTCCCGACCTCGAAATACTCTGTACATATGAGTAGAATAATTAAAGAAATTAAAATCAAGAAAATTAAAAATTAGTAAGCCACGAATTGCGGGAGAGTGGGGGGTGTATTAGAAAAAATAAACAAACTTGATCTGCTTAAAGCTCAGGAGAACCTGAATACCAAGTTTGGTTATTCTAGCTCTTGTACTTCCTGAGATCCTTGCGTTCATACAGACAGACAGACAGACGGACATGGCTATATCGACTCGTCCTGTCATCCTGATCAAGAATATATATATACTTTGTGGGGTCTGCCACGCCTCCTTCTGTGTGCTACACACATTCGTACAAAACTAGTATACCTCTTTACCCTTTGGGTACAGGATATAAAAAGTTAGTGAAGCCACACTGCGTTACAGATTAATAGAAGCTATTATAAATACACACGATGTACGCAAATAGCCGATATTACCCCACCAAACCAAGCAAAACGTCTTCCGAACAAGACGATTTGTACCGTCCGTCTGTCCGCCCATCCGTATGTATGGATGAACGCCCGGATTTCGGAAACGGCTAAGCGCATATTAACCAAACTTGGTAGTCAAGCATCAAGTTCACTCTTCTTCTTCTTTTTATACTCTGTACATGAAATGTACAGAAGTATATTAGGTTTGCGGGAGCTGAAAAATGTAACAGGCAGAAGGAGGCGTGGCAGACCCCACAAAGTATATATATTCTGGATCAGCGTGACAAGACGAGTCGATCTAGCCCTGTCTGTCTGTACGTCCGTATGAACACCAGGATCTCATAGACTACAAGAGATAAGAGATAAGACACTAGAGATACCAAATTTTGCACAAAGATGCCTTATGTATGTTTCTCGATTTTCCATTCGTATAATCGCTTATATCTCGGAGACTATAAGACCTAGGGACACCAAATTGTAGTCCCAGATTCCTTATGTGAATACGCAGAAAATGTGTATTTTGGAATTTTCCTCCCTCTCCCCCGAAATCTATAACTCCCTTAATCTTGGAATTTTTCATTGACATTCGGAAAAGACCTCTCGTTAGTGATTATGAGTCCGTAGGTCGAGTTACATAATGATAGGCCGATTTAACAGGAAGGCTTGGCCATATATATATATGACCAAGCAGTGACCGCAGCTGTACTTGTGGTTACTGCTTTGCACAGGCACACAGA